GTGAGATGGGTCAAGTAGTATTCTGGTAGAAAGTTTCTGTCATGCCCTAAGGTGCTGTGAAATAATAAACTGCACAGCATACCCAAGGGATATGCCACTGTATCGACATACGTGTTTGATGGATGTGCGTATGAGTACTGTATGTAACTGTGTGAGTACTTAGACTATGGATTATCACGCTGTTGTCTGTACATGTTCGATTGTATACTGTATTGGCCTGATGAGAAGTACCGAAAAAAACAGATCTGTCTTTGCCACTTTCAGACTTCTCTGACAGAACAATGAGTATATTTTGTGATCTAAAAGCACAATAGCAAAACAAAAAGTTCTAGACAGTCCAAGAAGATACACAATGTCTGTGGAACGAAGTCTTTTTGAATCAATCGTTTAAATATAGGGAGAATAAGTGATATCTTACAGAACTTGAGAAAAGGGAGATTTTGGAATCATTGTGGCAGTCCCAGGGGGAGATGCGTTCGAGGTTGGAGTTATCATCATGCAGTTGATGGAAACAGATGGTGGTCTACGCTGAACTAATGTAACAGATCGCCATTATATTTTCTCTGGTAGGTCAGAGCACATCTACCATCTAGGCAAACTTCCAATGTGCCTAATTTTCCAACCTGTGTTAAAATCACCAGTCAATCCAACTATATCTGCGCTTCGACTCAACCGAATATATTCGGTGAGTTTGTCTTCGCATTCGTCTTTTTGTACAGGGCATGTGCTCAGATAATTAACACTGATTGACCCTTGGTTCTGTATGGCACATAAACTATTGTTGATGAGGATCCAATCAGAAGGTAAACCCCAGGCTACTCCAAGGAGACCTACTGCGCTGGCTTCGAGGTTACCGGATACGCGGAAGAAGTACCTCGAGGAGAAGTCTGGCGCACGTAGGAGGTTTGCATTACTGTGATCCTGAATTCGTGTATCTGATATGCAGCAAACGTTGATCGCTAGAGAGTTCATTGTACGGACCAGATAAGCTTGTTGACCCATCTCTATCAGAGTCCTCACGGTAAAGGTCCTCAGATTCCGCGATTGACGAGGCTTCAGAATCTGCAATCGATTTTGTGGTAAACTACTTACCGTGCTATTTTTTATCAAGCTTTGACGAGTGGTAAACAAGTTGTCTGATTAAATACTACGGGACGGAACAAAAGGCAAAAGGAGAGTTTTGTGCATGGAAGACATGGTGATATCCTTTGGCTTGATAAAAGCCATTCTGTGTAGCCCATCGGGTCATAGTATTGTGGAAGCCACCGCATCACATCATGATGCAGCCTCTTCGTGACACTAACTGCATTATGGTGTCATTCGACACTGGTGCGAGAAGTGCGGCCAGAGAGGGAGAAATAATGGGTGGGTCTCATCGGCGAAAAAATGGATTGTGTTTTGTAATCCCTTGGACTAATAAAAGGAAGAGGGTTTGCGGAAGTACTGAATATTGGGAAATGCCAGCATCCACCGTGAACGTGGACAAAACCCCATCAACTTGGACAGAGCTCGTTTGCTTACTAGGGAAACTTTATCTTCATAGAATTAGAGCTGGAATGTGGGACGTTTTCCCGGTAGACCTTCGTGCCAAATTCGGTCGAAGGCTTTTGAGATGTCATGCAAAAACAGGTGCGTTTTGCTGTGTCTGTGAGACAATAGTCAGCTGGTTGTCAAGAAAATAACGTAGTCGAAAGCCTTATTGACAGCTATGGGTGGCAGACGGGACCAAGTTTTCTGCTTTGCAGCGGGGGAATTGCTATTTCGTTCTCTTTACAGTTTACGAGCGTCTATTTATGGCTTGCACGAAACGGTGATGGAAAACGGCAGTGAACAAATGACACTGGCAATGAAAGGTATACAGTGACCACATGCGTGGCTAAACCACTCAAGGGGCTTGAGTCATCTGGGTTCGGCAAAGTGTATAATAAAAATATACATATATAACTTGAAGAATACTAGCGTTTAAGTTGGGAGCCTTTGAAGTTAAACAACCGTAGTTCTTTTTATCTTCTATTTCACCTTTTACTGAATATACAGTAATATAATTTTCAGTTAGGGGAAAGCGACCAATCAAAGGGCTGTCACACTACCTGAGAAATAGGGAAGTCAGCCGCTGGTCGTGGGATCTGAGGTGATAAGTTGGTGACCTTAACCGCTTGACCACCACCGTTCTAATGATAAAAAGCTATGAAGTTGCAAAAACTATCCCAGTTGTCTTGGTTGTAGCGCCGAAATGTGCCTCTAGGTGGATGGAGGATGGGTCGAATAAATGTGATAAGATACAATGGTGTACGATGAATCCAGCGGAAAGTCAATGAAGATGTTCAGCAAGAGGTAGGGAACCGAAGTGAGCATGAGATCGAGGGTTTGGGCTTGGTTGATGGCTCGATCGGAGACGACTAACCAACTGGATCAGATTGCTGATCACGGCAAAATGTTAGGCTCTGCGTCCCAAAGATGAAGAGCCAGAAGAACACATATCAGCTATTCCTGATCATGGACTTGGAAATCTCCTCAGATGGTAATACGGCAGTTGAGGGTCCGTGAGCACATGTGCTCAATGTTAGAAGTCCGGAGACCCTGAACGAATAATTTGCCGATATAAGAGACATTCCCAGAAAAAACGGATGCCCAGTGGCGTTTGTTCGACGAGATATTGAATCAAAACGGAACGATTTAAAAGTACAATTGGCTAGCAAAAAGATGTCTGTCAACATTCCCTTCAAGGGAGGTAGAGCATTGGAAATTCTGGACTAACGATTATCCAAAGCCATTGCCAACGATTTTCCTGTGTCGTATTTAGGACTCTCATCGAGGAATAATCCATTCTTTGATCGACAGTCGCAACCTTTTGTTTCATATCAGTATACATGCACTTGTAGTACTCGCTATATCGGGCACACAATAAGGCGTTTGTTCAAGAGAATATCTGAACAGTGTACAACCGCTCTTCGAAAAGGAACAGAGAGAAGCTTGAACAGCTCGATCCTGCAACATTTGATCCACAGCGGGCACAGGATTGACCCAGAAACATCATTTGCAAGTTTCTTCACTGCAGCTAAGGTTCATACCAAAGGATTACGTAAGAAGAGCCTGACAGCTGCGAAGTACAAAGCAATTCGGATTATGAAACCGGAGTTGTGCAAGCAACATAGTCTGTTTCAAGCGCCGCTGTTACCATGATCATCAGAATAATTACCCATATCTCTTCTATATGACCATTTTTCTATTCTCTTCCAACTCTCACTCCTCATTCACCATCTTTTTGCGCACTTGCACACATGTTTCATTCATTCTTCACTAAAACCTTATATATCGTGCCCAGTGCACACATTTTTTACCCGACATTTCCCTATCCGATTATCGTGACCCTATAGCTGGTTGTCACCTGACATTTGTCATACACATTCATTCAAGGTCAGCTTAGACTTTGTATCAATCTACTGGCCATTCGAACTATATTTGTAAATTCCTGAAGCGATATATCGAAAATAAATCCATTCGCGTCCCTACTTTGTTCTTATGCGTCTATGAGAATACTTAAGAACACAAGTAACAAGTGAAGGAAGTAAACCACCACAGTTGAAATTCACTATTAAAAAATGCAAGGCTTGTATTCTGGAGACGTTCTGTGATTGACGGATAAAGGCGCAGACACCAGCTTCGGGTATGAGAGAGGAGAGGAAAGTGTAGTTAAGGGGTCGAAGGTGCGTGGTATCTGACGCGGGAGAGATTTGTATCCGATAATACAGGATGAGCGAAGAAGATTAAACTAGTTATTGTAGTCTTGTAGTGCGTTTCAGCCAATCAAAGGCAGGAAGGCTGGGGAATCCGGTCATTGGCCTGACTACCACTAGTCGCCCATCAAACCCACACCGTCTTTCTCCATGTGTTGCACTCATTTTAACAGAACACTCATGTTTCCCTAGCTTTCGTTGTGCTGCTCAAACTACTTATTAGTAATCACTGGACAGCGGTTTCGTTTTCTTTCTGATACGAATTCATGAAAATTATCCAACGGGATACAGAGGACTGCTTCGTGCTATCTGAGTAATTCGTGATTGCGAACGATTTAAACTTTGCTCACTGGCTGATGATCAATTTAAGTACCGCGGTTTCATCAGAACCCAGAAGATGACACCCCTACCCGTTTACTACCCATACTGGATAAGAATCTGCATCTGGATTTTCTCATGACTGAGTGCAAACGTTTTCCACCCCTGAAATTTGATCCAACCCAAATTCCATTTCTGATGTCAATTCATTGCATTTGGTAACGTGCTCTGTCTCTAGTGTGCAGCAGGATGGTCCTGCTAGTGGACACGCCAGACAGCCGAATGTGGAAGAAGTCTTGGCCTGGGCTTGATCCGTTGACCTAAAGGAAGTTCTCCTGTTAATCATTTAATTATCTGCAAGAAGGGGTAAAATACAAACACCGTATATCAAAAATATAAGCATGGCTCATTCTCAAAGTTTTCGAAGCATTACAGGTGCCCAATGTATAAGCCATCAGCGATCACCTTCAGATTTCCGAGTCACCTCACAAATAAACCACCCATTCAAATCGAAGGGCCATATCGCACTAATGCTCGGTTTTTGTCCCGGGTGATTTTACTGCATCTCAACATGATGCATACAGCAGGAAACACGATTTAGAGCCTTAGCATGACAACAACGTAAAATAAATGCATTGCAACATAAAAACGTACAGGATAGTTTAATTCTTCAGAAAAGAACTTGAATGTTTCGCTATTCACTTTTTGGCTACTGTAAATTGTGTAAGTAGCCTGATTATTTATGGCAGTGTTCATTGAATGCATCACACTGATCGAATACCAAGCCATGGAATTCAGACGCTGAACGGTTTTTACTCAAAGATGGCTCATTATTGTACTGTTTTTCTGTGTTTATATCTGTAAATTTCCGTTCTGGTTTTACTGCATCACAATGCTTCACGTCATTCTGTACCGCCTCGTTGGAAATCGACTTTACGCTGGGGTCAGTTCACCTGGTCGTAAGTTCGTTCGATTTTATCGCTTCTGTCCCTCTCCTGTTCAACCAATCGCTGTGACTTTTGAATCTATCTATCCTTGTTCATCATGCCGTTTCCTTATACGATCCATACAGGCTAGAAGATGAATCATTGAAAACAGTTCTTCATCTCTAAGCGTGTGTTCTCTGTGCTGATTACAAATTTCTGTGGAACCGCGGTTAACGTAGAAGCAAAGAACCTCAATCCTACCGGTGTTTTCTACGTTCGCCCAGGCCGTGCGTAAAACTAGCTGTGACGTTTTCCTGTTTATCGCTACTGCCGATAATTTGTTTGTACATGAGTAAAAATAATCCTGTAATATCGGAACCCTATTTGATCCTATTCGTCCTAGTCAACGCAAACAATTTGACGGTTGAATAACCACTTATCCTGTATATCTTGATTTCGTCCTCTATCAGATGGATCAAACTCCACCGACAAACCTTGTGATGCTGTTCCTGGACGTTACTATCACTTGTTCACACAAGGTGAACTGGAATCTTTGATTTCACAAGTTCCATCCCTCAAGTTGCATCGTGTTTATTATGAACGAGGCAATTGGGCCGCTGTGGTGACAAAAAGTTGCATGGAAAATACACAGCCATTGTGATTTGGTGCTTTTTTATATTACGCTTTTTGAGGGAAGTTATGTCTTATTTCATTCCTTGGGTCGCCAGAATTTATTTTCTATTCATTCGTAACGCATTCGCACAGTCAACTTTTGAGGGAAAATCGTTCGTCTACCCAATCGAGTGACAGCGATCAAACGGTACAAGTCACATTATTTGAATTGCTCTGAGTACCAGTGTCCGATGTTCGAATCTGCTACCGTCACCCGACTTCTGTGTTGGACACCTTCGGTTTTGTCCTTCCGAGTACTGTGTCTACCGTACTGGGGTTTTGTGTTGCATCATGGGCTTAGCCTTCCGTTTCTCGTCATTGAACAATAGGTCTTGAAGCTGGCCACCCTTCCCTTGCACCTCACGAAATCCTCCCATAAGACCATGCTATGCCTATGCTGAGGAAGTCCTTTTCGATGCCTCCTGGTGGCGGTGTTTTCCTATCCAACTGAAAGGACGAAAAGCAAATCTCCGGGTCAATAAACCCCTGGCAGTTCAACCACAGGAGTTGGTTATAACCCTGGTTCTAAACCAACCAAGAATATACGTACGCTCCACATCCATTCACACCTTCCTGGTCGTGCCAGTGGTTACCGGCTCGATTGGGTATCGAGGCGTACTTGACACTTTAGACGTTTGACCCCGTCCAAAGGGCGTATGATTCGATGAACTGAACACCAGCCACCAATGGATCGCGGTTTGCACACACCTTGCGGGTCAAGCCTTGGCTAATCAAAGGCTCCATTTGTGAATTCCTCAATAAAATTCATCTGCTTTTGCATGAGCAACCTGGCAGTATTCTGCCCCCAAACGCATCGTAGAACTTTCGCTTTTCATAACGACCAATGTACTGTGCTTTGTTTGGCACATAGTGTGGATTCGGACGTGTGTAAAATACATACAAATGTTGATCAAACTCGTGCAACATTCTCTGATTTCGGAAATGTATTTCAGTCTCCAGTATCGTACTTGTATATTGATGGCTATGGGTAAAGTATTTTTAATCCTAATTTTGTCTCCCACCTTTATGTTCTTAGTTCTCTTCTATCATCGTTTGAATTAGCGTTTCATTGAGCTTTCGATAAAATTTGTAGTACGAAAATTATGGCTCATATTTGGAAAATATTTTAAGCGAAGCAACATGGGGATACATGAATGTACAGTAAACTTTCAGGAAGGGGTCCGCGACTGACTGGGAGAAGAGGGAAGGTGGCGCAGTTCGAACTCACAACTTCCGAGTCGCTGTTTAGATGACCACCGCCGCCCAAAAAGGTGTAATGAAAAAATCCTCTGCTGTCTTCCGACGTGCAATTTGTGATATCCAAAAATGACGATAAACAGGTCGAAACTGAATTCTATCAACAACGTCTTGGTCAAGGTAGTGATGCTGTCAAAACATGCAGCATATATGGTGTAGCTGTTAATCCAGGGCTACAAATCGCCATTCCTAGCATACATACTGATATATGTATTGTAGTCAACCTGTAAGAGAGATTGTGCTTGCGCATCGGAACTGAGCTTAGACTACCCCCGAAAAGCTGATATTCTGCCTTATTCATTCTGAAATTTAATCCATTCTATATTTTTAATTGAACACTTCCGTACACGGTTTGACAGGATCGATATTGGACTGAACACCTCCGTTTTAATATACGGGACTGTTGACAAATATAAAAGGACAGTTTGTTTTTCGCCTACCGAATGATCAGTAAATACATGGATGTGGAAAACGGGGACCGATCCTAGCGTGTTCTTTTTACATTTTAGTATTAGATTACTTTTAGTGGATAAATAAATTCATGCACCGGTGACGAACTGGGTAACTTTAACTCATGTCTGAAGAGAAACCAAGAGCGTAGAACTGCACAGTTGTGTTGTATCACCACTCGTGTGTATTGCCCAGTCGCATACTGTTTATATGAATAACTGCGTAGTAAAAATAACCAAGATCCGCTAAATGCTATTGCATTTAGCGACCTTTAGAAACCTCCTTGTACCAATAAAAAGCTGTACATTGCATTTTTAACCTCCTGTCACCACTTCTCTTTCTCTTGCATCCGGCCATCAATATGAATTGTTTTTGTGCTGAAGTATGTACCTGTGGCAGCAAAACCAGCTTGTTTCAAATATCAGTCGTGTAACCTCATCCTGTTGGTTTCTCGGTTCTAATTGCTTTCGGTAAGCAAGAGTGAAGACTTGCTCCAAGCAAGGTCACTTACTTGTCTCAGTTTGAACATGAGCATTCTTTAGAAACCTGGAAGCATTTCTGAACTCTTTCTGGCACGCTACCAGGCACCGAAAATAATCAATAATCAAAACAACTAAGCTTGTTTTTGTGTTAACAACTATAAGAGCACCAAGTTTATTCGGGTGACGGTGCATCAATTGATCCCTTTTGTTGCACTAATTCATTTCATCACATTACTTCTGCTATTGATTTTCAACTGAACTGTTTTTGCCATTGATGAAGTTTGAACTTGTGTGGTTAAGCCAACCTAGTACCTATCGTCGTTTGGATACCAGGGCTCTACCATTCTCCCTCGAACAGCCAAATGAGTGAACGAATGCCGCCCGTGGACAATTTTCCTACAGCCACAGCGTCCCACACAGGGGGGTCCCAGACAATGCTGTGGAAGTGACCAACTATTCATCCTCCTCCAAAATCCATGAAATGAGTTCCTCTACATGGTGATTTGACAACTTGTTGAACCGTCTTCCTCCGTGGGTGAATTCTGACGGTTGTTCTTGATGTCTTCTTATCCATGTCATCGCTGTCCTTTTCTTCACATCAAGTGATGCAGCGCACATCATAGGTGCTATGAATGTGGATAGGTTGGTGAACTATACTCTGAAAAGAGGATCTTACAACTCCGTATTGTGTCTGCAATGGTTGCAAACGCTAGTTGATCAACTATTGCAGGAAGAGCACAAGTCATATGTGATTGTGTGTGACAACGCACC